GCTCCCCGCCGCGGCTTCCCGTGTGCAAATAGGGTCCGGCCGGCGGCGTGGACGCGGGTGTTCTTAAAGGGACAGGAGCCCCCTTTCTCTGAGCTTATTTCGGTCTGACGAGGCTGGGGGTGGTGGGAGAAGGGTCCCTAATGTCAAAGGTCAACACCTCGAGCCCCTGACCTCCAGGCCTGTGGAGCTGGTGTTGTCGGGAAATCCAGGGGACCCCCGTGCTATCCCCACGGTTACGCCTGAGGAAGGATGGAGGGGAAGTTGGCTCTTCCCTGGCACTCCAGGAAGCGGCGCCGGAGCCGGGGGTCGTGGGGTGCTCCTGCTGACCCCCGTCCTCTCTCTGGCCCCCTCCCCGCCCCCACACCCCTCGCGGGGCTCCTGGGGAAGGCCCGCCTAGTGCAGGGGGCGGGATCTCACGCTCAGCTCTGACGCAAACGGGAGGCTCGGCTGCGGGGGTGGTGTGTGGGGGGGTGTGCAGTAAGAGGGAGGAGGCTTCCAGAAAGGGAGGCCCGGGGGCAGGATTGTGCTGGATTCTGTGGACTTTGTGGGAAGGAGTCCCGGGCAGAGTGGAGGGCTGATGGGCGGGGCGAGGCTGGGGCTGCGGTGGGGGCAGGGAGACCTGGTGAGGAGGGGGCTCCTGGTCCCTGGAGCAGGAAGGGGGGGCGGTAAGAGCTGGAGGCGGGTAAAGCCCCGTGGTGAGGGGTGGGCCAGGAGGATGGTGGGGAGAGTTGGGGTGTGAGGAGGGCTGGGCGGGAGGGAAACTAGGCTGGGAGGGGTGGCCCTGGGGTGTGAGCTCATCTCTGGAGTTGGAGCACCTGCCCCTCCTCACCCAGGCTCCACTGCCCTACACCCATTCCCACCAGGCTTGCTGCTGTGCACTAAGCCAAAGTTTGAAATACAGATGGGTGTGTCTGCGGGTGCACAACTGGAAGTATCCATACTTGTGCAGAATACACAAGATCTCCTCACCACCTCACACCCAGACATGCACCCGTTTGTACCCGTTAAGGTACTAAGTCTCATGAAGTAACTTATATACACATAAGCACATACAAAGACCATATGTATACACACAGGACAATGCTTGCTCCAACATTCGAAGCAGTCTTTTTGAATGGACGAAGGATGTTACATACATTCACTTAGATACGCAGGTACACATGAGTGTGCGTGTATGCAAATACACAAATACATGGGTCATGGAACTGCATGGCATGCACACATGTGCCAACATGTGTGTGCTACTAACTCATTGTCCACAAGATTGCACATGCCAGTACATCTTCATCTCTAGGCACATATGTGCAGACCCTCACCTGCACACAAACAGTCCCATGTCCCTCTATACATGCACACACATCCGCCTGCCCTGGTTATGCAAGTGAACTCCTCCCTGCAGACATCCAAGCAAACAGGCCGATGCAAGTGCTCAACCGTGCCCCCCAAGCCAGCAAACGGGAGCCCGTCTGCAGAGGCCCCAGAGGCTCTGGGCTCCTGCTTCCTTACCTGTGTGGAAACACATGGCCTCCTCTTAATCGGCCTGCCAGCTGTTGGCAGTGTCCTGAGGTTGCCAATGGTAAATGCACCTGGTTCCTTTATGAAGTTGCTCATATTTACGTGATAAGCAGTCATTGAGCACCTGCTGTGTACCAGGCACTGTTCTTGGTTCTGGGGACCCAGTCCTACCCCTGGCCACTCTCCTAATTGTGTTAGGGTAAAAGAGATGGGGAAAGGCTGAGGAGCGGGGGAGGGGTCCAGGACACTCTTCCTCTAGAAGCCTGACTTGAACGTGGCCCTGCCATTTGCCTGAGTGTCAGAAGATGAGGGATAATCGGAGGGAAGACAGTGGTCCAGGCAAAGGAACAGCATGGTCCAAGGCGCGGCGGTCAGGATCAATTCCAGGCTTTCCTGTGCTCTCGGCATTTTGCATAGACCATCAGGTTTTAAAGGGTCCATAAATATTTGATGGGCGAATAAGGCAAACACATCAGTGAATGTGTGCGAGGAAAAAATTTGCCTCACGACCAATAATAACATCCACAAGTCCCACCCATCCAGCATGCTGCAGGCACGGTTTCGAGGATTTTTGTGCCCACTGCCCTCTTGAATCCTCAGAGCAGCCCCATTTTGCAGATGAGCAAAACTGAGGCTCAGAGAGGTCTAGCAACTTGTCTACTGCCACAGAGCCAGAGGTGAAACTAACGACTCCCGAGCCTGCTGTGGGCAAGGGAAGGCCGTTGAGCCTCCTCTCAGCCTCAGAACCTGGGAGACAGCCAAGTTCCCTCCATGGGTGAGAGTCTGTCCTGATTGCCTTCTTCCCGTATCCACTCAGTAAACTGGCACGTCACCACCTCCTCATTCATAATGGCTATTTTCCTCCTCTCTCCTAGGAAGACTTTACAGATCACTCTCCTGGGCTGCCCCATCTGTGATGTCACCCAGCAGGGGGCATCTGTATCTGGGTCTTTCCTCTCACCTGTGAGGTGCTAACAGGGCATTCTGTCTTGAGCAGGTCTGGGTTTGAATCCTGCATTCATCACTCTCTGCAAGTCCCACATGTTCTCCATTCCTCAGCATGCCCATCTGTAGAATGGGCACACCAATAGCGCCAGTGCCACCTGGGTTTGCCAGGATGCTCTAATGAGAGGAGGCAGGGCCCTTTGGCATGATGCCTGGCCTATGGGAAGGCCCAATAAGTGTGAGCCAAAGAAATGGAAAGTCAGTGATGGTGTTTTTATTAGTGGAGCCTAAGAGCTTTCGGGAACGTCAGTGTAGGGCACTCTATGTAGACCCGAGGAGAGCTCCAAGAGGGGTCTTCAGCTCTTGAGCAGCACAATGGAAGCCAAGTTCATCAGGGATACAAGAGCAGGGATGGAGGGTTCAGAACCACGGACAGCGTCCAATTGCACGCAGGGTTGGTCTTAGCGCAAGTCAACCATAGGAGGAAAGGAAAAGCCTTTAGCGAATCGCCATTTATTGAGCAACTACGACTGTTTACACTGGGCCTAATTCTTAGTGGTCCGTGGTAAGCAGCACAGGATCACTGATCCTTGGGTTCTTGGCATGTTTGTTTTTCACACAGAAGGCTTCAGTCTGCCTCCAGCTTATTTCCTCCAGTAGAGTCTGAGAGTCCTCGCTTATTCTCTGCCCCGTGCAAAACCCGCAGGGTCAACGCCCTATATCATAGAGCTCATCCGTCTTCCTCTGAAGTGTCTGCCAGCAGCATCACACGGGAAACCGTCAAATATCCTGGAATCTATTTCTGGATTTTCTATGTTCCCCACCCCCATGCCAAAGCCACCCTTTGATATGGTGGCCTTGCACTGTGTATATTCTGACACTCAGTGAGCACATCAGGGGAGTGGGCTTTCGGGTCTCTCCTTGATGGCTGGGTTCCCCTCCCCCTTCCCTTCACACTGCCCCCCTCATCTGGCAGGTCACAAGTGCCCCAAGACTGGAGGCCCCTTCAGTTAAAATTCAGGATCCTAGAATCTTAGCCAAGGGCACGCTGAAAAATCAACCAAATAATAAAAATAGTCATGATACTAGTCCTAATAATAACGTGTTAATACTATTATTAATTATTATTATTAATGACACTATAATAATGACAAGGCAGAAGGGGGAGAGGGAGGAAGAGGGGATCAAAACCACCCAGTTTGACCTCTCCCCATTTCCCAGATGCAGAAACTGAGGCCTCGAGCCCCGCAGTGCCCATGGGGATCCCGCAGCCTGAACCCCCGCTCCAGCCTCCCCAGGTTCGGGGAGCATCTGTAACCACATTCATCAGTCCCGGCTGAGGGGCCCCAGAGACATCCGAGGCCGCGCAGGCCACTGGCTGCGCGTGACGCGGTGTCTCCACCCACCCGACACCCGCCGTCAGAGGGCGACAGCGCCCGCGCCCCCCCTTCCCCCGCCCGGGCCGCTCCCGCCACCTCCCCGCCGTCGCGTCGCTCACGCCCTCCGCGCCCACGTTATAAATAGCCTTGTGCCCGCTTGTGACTCGGAGCCCGCTGGGGAGGGCTGGCGCTTCCGCCCCGCTGACCCTCATCCAGCAACTGGCGCGGCGTGAAGGTGGCGGGACGTGACGGCGAGGACGGCGCGTCTGGGGAGAGCCTGCGCCGGCAGGGAAAGACACCAGCGGAACCCGTTCCTTCTCCAGCCCCTTGGTCCCCCTCTGAGCGCCCCGCCACCTTCCTCCAAGCCCCTCCTCACTCAGACCACCCCTCCCTCCTGCCCTG